GCTGGCCAGTTGGGGGAGATTCACTCCTTTTTGTTGCCTGTACTGTTGTCGCGGCCCTCCTGACAGTTCTAGAGGAATGGTTCGACAGAAGGTAGGAGAACCTACAGTGCGATGTAAGTGGTTGGTGGGCATGGTTGCTTTGGTGAGAGTACCTGTGTTGTATCAGAAAGAAACCGACGTAAAGTAGGCTAGAATTTCAAAAACGCGCACAAAATTCATATTTCTGTTATGTTTAGATTAATAACTACGAAATAAACTGTGTTTCTAGGGTTCTGGGGCTCGCAGAATCTGATTCTGGTATTATCTTTTTAGTAAGATGAGAAACTATTCTTATAAAACTACCCTTATGGTGGGTGTTTCACCCTAAGAAAATGAAACTTTGGCAATTGATTCAGAATGTGATTTTAAGCAAAAATGTCATATAAACATAGCCTCGAAACTTAATAGGTAAAGAATTATTGTTAATAGAAGTTTAGATTCCTGCTAATTTAACATGTATAGTAAAGTGTCCCGAACATGTGTTTAATGAAAGGAAGCTTTGTGTTTCTATTTTGTGTAGAAACGAATAACGTAAACAATTGATTGTTTTATTAACTTTATATAAATGTTATATAGAGCAATAAGTATGTTAGGAACCAAGGAATATAATAAATGAGCACATAAACTTTAAAATGACTAAACGTTAGCATTTCACTTGAAATGTTTTTTGTTTCCAAAAAATGAACACCACACATTTAGTATTTCTTAAATATACAGTTTAGTCTAAGTATTGCTTACTAAAACATCTTAATCAAGTTCGGGATGCAGCGTCAGCAGGTTACGCATTAACTATACTTTTATTGTTACTACTCCGTTATCTGCAAGTATGTTGTGGCGGTCGACGCGGACAGCCACGAGTGTAGCGCAGCAGCGCGGACCGTGGAGAGAGTCGGTCGTCCGTCGATCGTCAGTTGTCTCCAACGTGGATCCCAAAAAGTGTATAAAAGGACGGGTCCACGCTGGACGACAGTTAGTGTGTGCAAATCTATAAGCGCAGCATTACGCGCTCCACAATGTGTAAGTCATTTTTATACGCTCACCTTAAGTATACTTAAACGGATATTGTACAACCACTTATGCAAATTTCATCATGAATTCTCGTAAACTCTGCTTTGTAGATGTCGATGAATCAGAAAAAGAAGCGGAAACAGGAGAAAGTAGGCCTTTGTGAAAAGACATTTAACATATGGTAAAAATAAGAATATTTTAACAAATTTTATATACACTTACAGATAAAAGTATGCCCTTTAATACAAATGGCCTATATCAAAATACGGTGTTTCCTGAAAAACATGTAACCTTTCCATGACAGGCATTTTTCTTTAACTTGAAATTTCTGTTAAACAATTTTCGCGAACGTTTTTACTGTTCTGACCCAGTGTGCGACGGCGCTATACCACACCTTCGGAGACGCGCACGACACGTCGCAAAACAGTCGTAGAATTTCGTTAACACATTGAAAAATGCGATACTAGAAAGTCTACAAGAAGAGTCTTTCTGCATGTAATTTCGGCTTTATGCGTTTGCTGCCACCTTTGTACCTTGGTTGTATCTCTATGAAATTGTGTTGAATTTTTCATATATGTGTGTACATGTGGAGCGCCGTCTCTTATGGCGGGTAGCGGAGGAAGAGCTCTCTCTATCAGCATCTCATACTAGAGATGCTGTGAAGGGAGGAGCTCTGGTAGACCGGGGTTTCCAGGTGCAAGGATGTCATCTTGCGGAAGGAGGCCGCGGAACTGCAGCAGGAAAGAGACACTGCCTCCGCCCGCCGGAGGATGGCCCGGGAAAGGCTTGACACAGTCACTGAGCGGTCCCCGCATGTGAGCGGGCGTGACGGTGGTGCAAGGGGCGGGCAGTAAGTCGAACATCCTAAGCGGTGCCACAGGGATGATTTCGTTCCGTCCGGGTATCACGCCGGTTCCCGAACCAGCCTGAGTTGGAGGGGTAAGCGGGGCAATCTCGTCCCAGGAGATAGAACGACCTATCGTCGAATGTGGGGGCGGCGCTGCGTGGTGATTCTAATAAGACTTCTTAGCGCTAACCCGAATAACATCGGATGGTAGGCTTGCCGTGGGGTTTTATTTTATGGACATCCCAAGTAACCCTCAATTCCCCAAGGCCGGGGGCATTTTTGAACGATCTCCCATCATAAAAAATAGGATTCCATTTCAAGACACTATAACCGAAAACTGCGAAAACTGCGAAAACTGCGAAAACTGCGAAAACAGCACGAACGCATGTTACGGTCGTGAGAAAAGCATTACAACAATTTCCGGAATTATGCGCAGAATACCACAAATTTCTGATAAAATATGAAATATTAGGGCATATGGACAAAATAAGGAACTCATCGGTAAAGGCACAGCGATCATTCTATTTGGCACATGACGTGATCATAAGGGAAGCGAGTACAACAAAGATTCAGGTTATATCCAACTTTAGTTAAATTCAGATATCACAAATACGTTCTATTATCCGATATAGAAAAGATGTATCTCGGAAACTACAGCTTACCGTAAGCAACATATAAAGGAAAGAGTTGTTCAGAATCATGTTCCCAAGGCAAATATTTAAAAATCATCAAGATCAGTGAGGGTGCAGTACATCGACAGATTTGCTTACTCCTCTGTCCGTACATTTATCGGAGCATCACTAAATGATATTCTAGTGGTAGATCCAACAATACAGGACGACCTTTTTTCGATCATTCTCCGTTTCCACAGTCATAAATACGTTTTAACTACCAACATTACAAAAATGTACAGGCAAATAAAACTTCACTCAGACGTTCGCTACTTTCAGAAAATCTTCTGGCCAGAAAATTCTAAGCAGCGCTTGCAGATATACAGACTTAACACGGTCACTTACAGAACCGCGTCAGCCCCAAATCTGGCCCTCCGTACCCTTCATCAAGTTGCCGTCTGGTGTGTAATCTGAGTATTACTTCAGGGACGTCAAATAACTAATCTAATTATTTGCAAAGCACATTTTAGACACAGTCACAGTGCGCAATTTATAGAAGTTTTTAGTCAAGTATTATATTAAGGTATATATGTCTAGTAAATAATAGTAAATAATAGTATAAGTTTTATTTACATAACCTACAACAGTTGTTAAATAACACGATTTAAATAAAACACTGTTCGATTTTCACGTTACTTTAATATTCGGACACTTTTAGAAACTACTTATTTTTAGGCTAATTTTTGTAATAATATGTGTTTTAATGTCTTGTTGGGTAGCTATCCTGCTGTATCACTTCTTTTACACGTTGTGGCATATTACTAATAATTTTTTTAAATATTCAGTAGTTATATTGTCCCATTCTTCTTTTAATCAATATTTTAACATTTCTTTTAAAGATATTGTTGTTTTTCTGACATGTCGCTTCAATTCCACATATTTTCAAGAGGGTTGAGAGGGTTTGGTGATTGAGGTGGCGGTTGTAAGACTTTTGGGCAATTGCACAGTAAATATTCGTGCACAGTGTGTGCTTGATGTTTCGGGTTATTGTTCGGGTAATACTTAAGCGTGTTTAAAATTTCCATTTGTGTAGCACTTTTGTGTAAATTATGTCTTAATATGTTCAGATACACATTTTTGTCCTTAATATTTTCAATAAAAACTAATTCGTGTGGTCCAAATGTGGACATACAGGCCCAGACAAGTACATTACCACCTCTGTGCTTTACAGTCAGCCTTAGATTTTTAAATTTAAATTCTTCATTTTTCTTCCGCCACACCATCCTTCGTCCATCTGACCTAAAAATGTTAAATTTATTTTCTTCGGTAAAAATGACAACGTTCCACCATGTTTCTTCCTTGAAAACATATTTTTTGGCAAAATTCAATTTCTTCTTTCGATTCTGTTCATTCACATACGATTTCTACCTAGCCACTTTTTTTTAAGGCTCTGCGGATCGTTTGGGGATGTACCTTCTTCCGAGCCTCGTTTAAGAGCTCAGCCGCTAATTTTGGTTCACTGAGTGTAGGATCCTTCTATATTTTTCTGATTAGTTTCCTCTTATCGCGTGTGTAGCGATTTCGTCACCACGTTTTTAATTGATTTGTCCGTCCACGGTTCTCTGTCTTGAACCGGGTATATAACCCCGGTAAAACAGAGGAACGCGGAGGACGGCATTTAAGCATTTTTGGAGCATTTTTGGAGCATTTTTGGAGCATTTTTGGAGCATTTTCGGCGCGCGGCATACAACAGTAGACGAGCGACATCCGACTTTCCATTGGAACAGATGGTATTTCGCTACCCTTTTGAAATAGGGCATGCCGCACCTCGAGATTATACTCATATCGGCATGTGACAAGTCACAACGAGAAGCCAGATGGGCCTCCACTTCCTTGGCGGAACCCTCGCCAAGGGAGCACCGTACAGCCGGCGCCTGTACGATGCCTGTGTTTGGAATAACCTCTCCTTCACCCGCAGGATCATCAGAAGAGAAGACCGCCCCTCGCGGGGCGCGACTCATTTAGCCGCCCTGTCCGGTAATAACCGTCGAGACGGAAAATTACCGTCCAGGACGTTACCAGCGGGGACCACGAGGAGGCTGAGTCGCATTCGGTCTCTAGCGGGCTTACAGGACAAGCTTCTGTAAGAGTTTTGATCGCAACAGGTTGCGATCACACCCTCTCGACACATAACTTCCGTGAGGTCGTTATGCCCGCGCTTTCCATTGGAACAGTAGAAAAATGGCATCTAGAGATCCCATTATTAACTGGAGCATCGTACCGCCGACGCGTGACTCCAAAAAGTACATCGTCCAAGCGCGCTGTATAAAGATACGAATAAATATCAGATGTTGACCTTTCCGCGAACGCAAAACGTGGGTGTGAATTGTGTTTTACTGTCTCCTCAATAACACCTTACATCGCACCAAAGTGGTGACCGCCGACGTGATTTTCGATAAGTTTTAAAAAGTTGAAAGTTTAGTGTTGTGATTGCGATGGCTAACAACGGGGGTGAACAAGCATCAGCCAGTGCTACACTCGCATCAAGCGAAGTAATCAAGGTGTCAATAAAAGTACCACCCTTCTGGAGCAGCAATCCATCGTTATGGTTTCGTCAACTCGAAATTCAGTTCGTGTTGAATGGAATTACGGCAGACATGACCAAGTTTTATTACACCGTGTCCCAATTAGAACTGAAGTATCTACAAGAAGTCGAGGACGTGGTGAACAATCTCCCAGCAACCGGAAAATACGACCGCTTCAAAGACGAACTCATCCGCCGATTATCCAAATGCGAGGAACAGCGTCTTAAGCAGTTACTCGAATAGGAGGAAATTGGTGACAGGACACCGTCGCAATTTTTGCGACATTTAAAAACATTAGCCGGAGACAACACATTGTCGGAAAATTTCCTGAGGACAATGTGGATGAATCGACTCCCAGCATCCACGAGGACAGTCTTAGCCACCCGAATGTACGAACCCGTGGACAAGATGGCAACTCTAGCGGACAAAATAAATGAAATGACACCGATCGGACATTGCGCAGCAGTCACTCCGAATCCGGAAATAGCAGCGTTGTGCGAGCAAGTAACTCGACTCACACAAGAAATTGCCGAATTAAAAATGAACCAACGGCAAAGCAGAAGCAACTTCCGTGATCCAGGACGTGGAAGATGGAGACGATGGAGTCGCAATCGCAGCCGTAGCCGCAGCCCAAGCCCATCTCAACCAGGAGTGTGCTGGTACCACCGGAGGTTCGGAGAAAAGTCGACGAGATGTACAACGCCCTGCACATATGTACGTCCAGCAACAGGGAAACGAAGCCGATCTAATGAAATAAAGAGTAACTAATGAAATAAGGCTTGTTAGTATCATCCGAACAGTGGAGCGTGTTTGTAAACAAACATTGCGTTCTAACTCGAAGTAACTCGGCGTAAACACTCAGGAAAGGTGCTACACTACCAAGTATCCGAATATTAAAATAACGTGAAAATCGGACAGTGTTTTATTTAAATCGTCTTATTTAACAACTGTTGCAGGTTATCTAAATAAAACTTACACTATTGTTTACTAATACTTGACTATGCTTTGTATTTGTTTTGTTAGAAACGAAGTTATGATGTAACGAAGTAAAAACCTCATAGTGTCCGAATATTAAAGTTACTCACTGTATTATGTGTAAAAGATTTTGCGTTCTATGTACTATTCTTGAACAGTATATGATTCACTGTGTTCTACCACCTTTTACCATCTTTCCGAAAACCTCATAATGCCACTTTTACAGAGTTCCCTGGGCTTATTGTTGAAATATTCAACAATAAATATAGTTTTTTATTTCATTCATTGAAGAATATTTTTCATGGCGAAGAAAAATGTTTCAGAGAAAAGAACTGAAGCGCGACCTGTAATGGTTGCCTGGAGGGGCAAGAAATTTGGAAAGAACAGGAGAGAAGGAAAGAACGTCGTACCGTCCGGAATCTACCAGTGGATACGTCAGTGACGCTTTTTGGTAGACCCGTGGCTTAGATGCGAGTGCCCCTAATGAGGCAAGGTCTGGAAAGTAAGAAGGATGTAGTAAAACATCCGAATCAAACTTTAAAAGTTTCCTTCGTGCGGATAAAAAAACATGTGGTCTCACGTTGACATGGTGGAACACAGAAATTAACCGATATAGAATAACCACATCTATTAACAGATTCTGGACTGTTTGAACAGTTATTATTCACCATGAACGTCACAAATCTTTTCTGCAGTATTTGTAGGTGCGCTGCCTTTTTTAAAGCAGTGAAGTATTATATGATGCAAATATATCTTCTGACTTTCCATCCTTCACAGTGGAAAAGCTCTCTATAAGCTTGTTACTAGTGTCGAAAACTGTACTCTCGCAATGTAAAAGGATGACTACTGATCGTACAATCGACGATAAAGGGATCAGGTTGTTTGTTCATTTAACCACAGGGAGGTAAAGCCTCAAGTGACGAACGCTAGAAGACCTTTCCGGACAATCTAACAGTAAAAGCCTCACATTTAGTCCATTATATCGAAATCCTATGTATTTTTAAAAAACCATAGAAACCGACTATATTCCCCCAGAAGCATTTATATACCTGGATAGCGAAGAATTAATTCAAAATCGAAAGCGATCTTATAGCACTATAATAGAAAACATATAAAAAAATATAAATAGCAACGATACAAACATGCGTTTGAATCTTGAATTGTTAAACATAGACAGGAAAGACAAACAGCAGAGAAATATAAAGAAATACTGACGGTTAGAAAACCGAATAGAGTAATTCAAAACATTGTAATGTATAAATATTAGATTAAATATGTAAATAAAACTATGAAAAACATACCTTCTTCGATAGTATAGTGGTATTCCTAGGGTCCTGCTGATGTCCTGCTAAAGCCCTCGTCAAGACACCAACACGATTCACAAGTACGAAGAAAAGTAAAATAAAAGAATAACAGTGTTAAAGTGTATGATAAAGTACATCACATATACAGAAGTGTACAAAAAAGGAAGAAAGTGCCTGCATAATTTCAAGAACAGTGCAAGTGAAGGTTTTTTAAGAAATTAAAAGCATAAAAGATAGAAGAATATTCCCTTCGTTTTCAGGGGAAATCCTGAACGAAATGTAAACCAAAAACTGTGTAGCAGCGAAAACAAACGAATAACACTAAAAAAAATGCAAAAAAATAATCTCAGACGCAACCTTTGAAATTAGTAAAACAAAAATACAACATCGACTGATACAACTGACAAATTCGAACGACGCATTAAAAATTTGGAGCCAAAAGGAAATGTCACAAATGAAGAAGAAATTATGACAAAAGTTACAAACATGAAAACTATTGCATGAGGATCTATTGAAATAAAATAAAAAGTTAAATAAATTAATAAAAAATCTAACAACCCAATTAACAGAAATAAAAAAATGAAAAACAAAGAATCGACGTCCAAAATCCTGTACTAGCAAAAATACGCGGTCAAGGGGCTCAAACTGAACTGACGGACACTTTCACCAACTACCTGAAATCAAGGCTCTCGAAAGAAGAACAATGGAAAACGGTCTCATCGGCCAAGAAGAGGACCCGTACAGTCCCATCACCGAAGTCAACCGCCGACACATCCAACCAAAACGCAAGCGATCATAAGAAATCTCTGTCGGATTTAGTTTTAGTTTAGATATAGTTTTAGATATACTACCGGTAAAATTTAAAGACTTCTACATAAAAAGGCTATGCACCGACAAATATACACTACCAGCTAACTGTTGAAGGTTAAGGTGGACCAAGCTGGGAAATAGAGTGTAATAGTTTATTATAGAGATCAAATACGTTTACACGTCGCGACGTGGTCAATTTGACCGTTTTATCAGGCCAGAATAAAAAACACTTATATATTGTACTTTCAACAAAATATGATTATATATACAATAAAATATAATTATAATCAGTTATAAAGTATACAATAAATAAATATTAAATATTATTAATTATATATAAATATGTATACATATATATGTTTATATAAAAAGCTGCATATTTATATAGAATGAGTTACATTACATAGCATATAATAAATAATAACAACACAATAGGTAATAATATATGATTACAATCAATAGTATAATATATAATAGGTTAATACATATTAACTACACAAGTATACGCGGTACGCTCGAGCGTTCGATCGCGTCGTGGCTCGCTTTAGGAAAATGCACTGTTGGCGCCTTCACTGGAAGGTCGCATACTGCCCCGTACCGCTGGACTACCTAGGGTTGGAGGAGCATAAGTAACAACTCGAAAACGTGCAAACAATTTCTAGTGAGACCAAGGTCGGATGGGCACCTTCGACCAGCAGACCCGTAATAAAGCAGTGCAGCAAGGTCCAGGCCAAAAGTCCCGTACAGGACCACCGTACGCCTTCCAACGCCGTTTTTGAGTTCGAGAGATATTCCTCGAGGGACTCCATTTTTGTGCCTCCACCACCAGGGAAAATCGATATATATATATATATATGTACGTGTACATATATGTGTGTACGGCGTTTTTTCCCAGAAAGGAGGAAAGAGACAAATTATCGGAACATCCATCAACTAAATACGAATTCGAAAACCAAATTGCTGAGTCACCCTCAGTTTTCGAAAAAACTGGGTTTTTGTAAAAACGGTCCAACTTTTGAAAGAACCAAGTGTTAGGTGAAAACTAAAAGCGATAGGCAGTTAAAATTTGTCGTAGAAAATAGACGAGACTTGTCTGAATATGTAGCTATAAAAATTTTGAATTTTGCGTATCATTAAATGTTTGTAAATGATGATCAAAGTTTGAAAAAGGATAGATGCGCGTACACTTCTGTTACATTTTTACAGAAAATAGGTTGGCTAGCACGGATTTCCTATGCATCATTGGATTCTGCAGACATTTCTGAAGAGGAAACTCCCCGCAGACAGCGTGAGAACGGTTTTTCTTTCGGACAGGTTAAGAAAATCTTCGTGAAGAGCGCGTGCACAGAGCTTTGGCACGACTTGATACGCGCTCTGTATAGACCTGGACCCCGTCAGTTCTTTTATATATTTTTATTATATAAAATTTATTTATAAATTATTAGTTAAATAATTTGATGTTCAATATGTGAATATTGAACTGATCTCAAGATCTCTTAAAGATGTTATGAAATATGCACCATGGAAAAGAATTTATAGTTGCAGACGGAGAACAGGTGTCCACGAAAAGCTTTAAAATTAAAAGCGCAGATGAGAAAAAGGAGCAGTAAATTCTCCGATCTTGTTTAGTTTATACACAAACGGTCTACTCCGTATGTACAGTCCAAATGTCAACAGCAATCTGTACGCCATTCCATTTACAAACGACCTAATCATGTATTCAAACAACGCAAGACTCTCAGTTATAAAGAAAACCATTTAAGAGACATTTCACAAGATACAGGATTATTTCCACGCATGTAAATTAAAAAGAAGCGCACAAAAATGCGAAACCATATTGTTCAGACCGTATATATCGCGAGTATTTCAACCGCGAGTTGAACGATATTCACAAACATACGACAAAATTTTCAATAAATGACTGAAACGGCCTTAATACAAAAATACCACACAAAAACATAGTCAGATACCTAGGCGTTCACACAGATTTCCGCATCTATTACAATTAACACGTACAGATACAAGCAGACAAAACGCAGAAAACCTTTATGAAACACGAGCGACCATTTTTTTCGAAACATTTAAACAAAGATGTAAAGGTGCCATGCTACAAAGCTTCAGTTCGACCAATATTAACATATGGCTGGCAAACATGCTTAAATATCTGTTAGATTTTGGCATAAATTGACTCACAATATGTATTTTGAATCGTAGTCTTGATGTACGTTCGACGAAAGCGTCATAAGAAAGGGTGATAAAACACGGTCAGTTTTGCGAGCCGAGTCACTGCCGTTCCTTACCATTAGTTTGCTGGGTTTTTTTTCCAAAACGGTCAAGAACATATGTTTACCTTTCCGTACAGGGCTTATTGTAATCACGCTCTGTGCGTTGATTTCTGAACGAGCATTCCAAGCGAACGGTTGCTAAATTTACACTAATACATATACTCTGTTTTCTATTTTTAATAAATAAATAAATTTTTTTGGAAGCCAGACCTGCTAATCATTCAACAATATCAATGCAAGCGCCCTGGAGAAATGAAGACTTTTCGAAAGAAAATGTGTATGGGCATGAATAAATCTGTATAGGTCACCACCGGAAAGACATTCCCTTAAAATATATCAATGCCCTTAAAATTTTGTTTAATTTCTGCTAGGAAGAAGATTAT